AGTTTGTACAATGATAACATATTTAATCTAAATCAGTTCTGATCTGATGAGAAAACTTTAATCCAAGTGAGAACTCGGCTAGAAATATGACTTAATTTCAGTATTTGTATTTGTTAGAGGCATTTTGATTTTTTCATATGAAGATGAAAAGTAAAACATCGGATCTGTACTCCACTTAATTATCAAGAATTCTCTGGTTGAAATGATTAAGATAACATTTATGAAAAACGATGACGTTCATGAAAAATGTGTTCCAAAATGCGAGATGCGAAGGCTATTTCTTTATTTTTGACATCGAGCTGCTTACCTCGAAGTATGTATCAATATGGAATCGAGTGATGAAAAGTATCAATTATAATATGAAGTGAAACAAGTAATAATACAATGGTAATAATACATGTAGATAACACTGGACAAGCATATTTTGGTCAAAATGAAGCTTCACTAGACGCTGATTCCGAATATGCATTCAGAATTGTCACAGTGCATCAACTTTCGAGATGTTCATATAGCACATTTATGTTCGAAGTAAATATTAGTACTGTGCATAGTATATATATATATATATATATGTTAAAGGGAAATAAAAAGTCTGCTTATCTGCAAAGTTGACTAACTAGTCCCTGTTGCAGCCACCTGCTCAATTACATTTATTCTTCAACATCCACAGAATCAAACTGTTTTATACTGCAACTATGCTGAGCGGGTCTTAGTTGTAGTTTCTGGGTGAAATCCCATAATCTAGTAGGATCGTTAGTTAAATAAGGACAGTGCATTCAAACCCTCGGTCACATTGACTTATGATATCGTGTTAGTACAACCATCGATGACTTCCAAACATTTTCGTCTACCTAATTTCACTGAGGATGATTGGATGAATCCCTGGAATCATTTTCATGCATTTCTCAACGGTGCCACAGACTGGGATCTGATATTATCAAGAAATTACCTTCTTAATAAGTTGGTCATCTGATGATCGAAACGCACCTTCAGGACGAATAACATATTAACAAAGAGCACATTAATGTCGAAGAGAAATTTAAAAGGTGTTAGAAAATAAGTGGATTAATGTATGAAATATTTTATTTCTGATATCTTTAAAAATGAGACACTTACTTTTGTGCGTTTTAGTTGAGCTGATCTCCCGTTGTAGTAATATACATCCGTCACAAATGTTTACTTTGGAAAGGCCCGATACCTTGCTTCCATATCAGATATGAGCAAATGGAACCTCTGAATGTTTATAGTTTATGGTACCCAAATCTATTGAAAATGTCTAGATAAGAATCCATTTTAATACGCCGCTAGCATATTGTTTATTAAATCAGCATTGCATTCAGATCTATGAGACCTGCAAAGATATTAATATGCTATTATGTACTAATACATATATATTTATCTTGAACATAACTATGTCATATGCATATGAAAAAGATCTGAAGTGCTAGGACAAAAATGCAAATTTGGAATCGGTGCACACGTTTTAATCATTTATATCATTTTTCGGAGTTGCAAATGATTTAGCCAGTTTAATTAATACAAGACAAAGCATTCTCAGTTACGCACATGACGCAACATGTTTGAATTTATATTTGGAATCAGCGTACTCTATTTAATCTAAAACACACTTACTCCCGCATTAAAACCTTTGTTGACCTTTATAATTAATACTTGATTAATAAAGAAAGAGTTATATAAATATAAAGTGGGGGACAAATTTGCTTTTATACCCGGATTATAAACAGGTCTTTTACTTGCTGACTGCAATATATTGTAGCATAGTCTACCAAAGTAACTCCGAAAAACGTTTCTAAGCAATCAGTATTCGTTTACCTAAAAAAAAAAAAAAAAACCACTGAATTAATGAAAGGCAAAATCTTATAAATTTCTTGCTCCTCCTTTTTTTGGTTCTTATCACACCGGTGAGTCCTTTCCTTGTTCAGCTACTCGACCAACTGCAGAGAATCAGCATATATCCTTAACATATATAAACTATTCTTGATTACAATATTTTGTTGTTTCATTCTGCATCACCTCTCGAACACTGATTTTTGTTGCTTGTTTTGTTATTCTCAACTTGCCCTTTTCCTTATTTGCCCACAGTATCACCTTTCTGTATTTAAGCTTTATTAAATATAAACTATTTAATGATAAAGTGGAAAATTTCTGTGTGACACGTTTCGTCTTCCAGAAGAACTTCATCAGACTAACGCAAAAGACCGATAAATACAACAATTATAATTTCTGTCTGAATTTCTGGGACATGGAGTTAGCATTATTAATATTATTTATATTCGAACTAATGTCCTCATCTTTGTTGTTATTATTACAGCGTTTTGGTCGTTACGCCTTGCGGTCTTCAGGTGTCTGTCGATCTGGATAACCTTCAGATAATTTCGAACAGAATCCTTTAGACGTAGACTATTCTCGTTTCGTTGTCCATATCTAGTAATATATTGTCTTTGGATGGATAGCAGAAAGCGAACAATTTACTCCCGTAGATTAAATAAATGGTTCAGTTTGAAATTCCTCTTTTGCTTGTTATGAAATTCTGCCTTTGAAATCAATGTTTTCCGAAGGAGAACTAGCTGACGACATGCCCAATAAAGCACATAAAGAGATAGAAATGAGAGAGAAAAAATGCAATATATCCAGGAAAAGGAGAATTGCAGTCATCTATTCATAAATAGGCGAGGAAGAGGTTTTTTTTTTGCTATTCACCTGATCCAGCCTATTAACATTGTCTGGAGTCATATAAAACAGCATCACGTTCATAGAAATTAAGAAGCATTTATTGTCGAGCAAGATAACAATAAGCAAAGGAAGTGGAGATCATAGACGCGTGGTCAGTTGGAGGCATTCGGACGTCAACTTGAATGGAAACAACGAAGATTTAATTCTGCTCAACACAGCCCAGTGTCTTAGTAAACATTGCACCAAGTCAGGGGCAAGACAATTGTACATAGGGGTTGGCACTTGTTTTCACTATGTAATCTTAATGATTCAGGTAAATATATACCTGTCTGCTTACTTGTCCCTTTCTCGCATATACGAACCACCATAAATGCATACACAGAACCACATTGATATTTTGTCTTTTGTACTAAATTCTCCACGGAGTCTTTGTATTTGATAAATCATTGTCTAACAGTAAAATCAAATAAGCTTTATAAGCCACTGATTTGAATGAGGCTTAAGTGGCGTCTGTTCATAGAGGAGGGTCAATTAGTTCGAATTTACTGAATAATTACCTTTCTTTTCTTTTCTTTTTTTTTTCTTATAATTTCTTAATTCTTTCTTTCTTTTATCCTTACAATTTTTCTTTTTATCATCTGTATAATTAATTTATTTGTTCTTTGTTTGTTTGTTTGTTTGTTTGTTTGTTTGTTTGTTTGTTTGTTTCTTTCTTTCTTTCTTTCTTTCTTTCTTTCTTTCTTTCTTGTTCAATGTTTTCAACGTTTTTATTTTAGCTTTTATAACCTTTCTGCATTTTCATTCTTTTTCTACTTCTCTCTCCCTTCTCTCGTTTCTTCTCACTTTCTCTTCTCGTGCATTTAATCGAAAATATTGTTTTGCATTTGCATCTGAAATTAATATCACCTGACAATAAAAGTGGTCATTAAATTTAAATACACTTAAATATTGCATTTGACGACGCAACTATTTTTATATTGTCTGCTATATCAACAATGAATAATTTTAACTTTGTTTCTTTTCATATCTCTTTTTATTCAATAGGGACTAATGGTTTAAGTAAAATATTCCATTTTGAAACGAAAATTGCATTAAATCTTGTTAAATATTTTGAATAATTAAAAGTTAAACAGTTTAGTGAAAGTTATCTTCTTATTTTCGGAAAATAAATGAAAGATTTCTCCCTTGAGACTCGGAGCAAAAGAATCGACGTCGCTAAAGACAGTCGCTGCCAATAATGTTTCTGATTGCAGAAAACCATTTGTAGAGGTGTAAAAAAGAAAAATCACAGTGAAAATATCGATAATGTTCGAAACAAAAAAGGACGAGAAGGAATAAAATCTACACTACTTTTGGCCATGAGCGTTAAAATTTGACATAACAAAAAACAACAGAAAAAATAGATTAATGTTTTTGTTCATTACCAAAGCAATAACGATAGTTCTTTATCTAGTTTGCATAATGTAGCGTAATGATCAAACAAACTCAACTCACACACTAAATCTCTAGTAGAGGGAGTTCGATCCTCACTGGAATATAACAATTGTGGCCATCTGCTATACTGAGGTTACTAAATGTTTCTGATAATTACTATAGAAATGGTTAGCTCGCTCGTTTTCTCTCTTAATCACATACATTGGATATGATACAGTGAAGATTCCACTTCATTCAGATAACTGAATCATTCTACAGATTTATTGATCTACTCTGGTATATACTTTCGCAAAAAGTTTTTAATGCAATATTCACTGGAAAAATACTCTTACAATCCAAAATATGTTTCGCCTTTAACTAACTCACAAAGGGTTGATAAGCTGTAAAAACAAATTAGTCAATTGGGAAAAATGGAATGAAATCGTACCAAGACATAAGAAATGTTAATGAAAGGTATAAATCGAAGGAGTTTGTGTTCGGCATTTCTTGCCCTCCAAGAGGATTGATATTATATAGCTATTCAGAACTTTTCAGTGTTTTCATAGCAATGAAAACACTAGATTGAACAATTCGTGAAATAATGGAATGGACTCAGCACAGGATTGCAGACAGTGAAGTGAGTCGAAGAACGCATCAGTGGAAACAAGATAAAGAACAAATGATGATATTAATTTGAACAACTCATAGAATATTGAGAATGGTTTAATTCAGAAATTTAATTTGCAAACTGTGAGGAAAGCCGAAGAAAGCATTGGCCGAAACCTAGTGATAAAAAAAAAAATCGGCAATGAAGATATTAGTCTGAACAACTGGTGGAATAATGACAATGATTATCTTAGGATTTCAAATAACAAGAAACCGTTTGTGGTATGATGCTCAAACGAATCCGAGTTGATTCCAGGTTCGTCGCTCGAATCTCGCCAATATCGCCTCGTTATTAACGTTGAGCGATGAAATCTCGTTAAGAGGGACAAAATCTCGTTTGAACGCTATTCTTGAGCTGATGACACTCGATCAGAATTCCCCTGGGTCTTGTAGTTTGGTGCCTCAAGCTCTATTATACTGCAGGCTATTTGGCTATCGACCAAGGCTGTAAATACTTCACATGTAGAATCACAATCACGTTTTTCGCCTTACCTTTCTGTACATCCGCTCATTTCTTTCATTTTCTTCTCGTTTTCTCTTTCGTTCTTAGATTGTCACCTTTTTTGTCACTTGAAAATAAATATTTTTTCATTTTTTTCTTTTTAATCACAATGTCCATGTATGACCCTTCCTATTTTGCAACCAGTAGTATATTTATAAAATAATTTATCTATAAAATTTGAGTTAACAACGTCTTAAATCTTTTCTCACTTTGTTCCTATCTATCTATCTATCTATCTATCTATCTATCTATCTATCTATCTACTTCGGCAATTCTAAGGATGAAAAATCGATCATTTTACACAACAAGTATTTATTTTTCAACAGAATGTCTTTTCTGGTTAATGCATTTTGGAGTGGGAAGATTATATTGAATCAATTATTAGGAAAGTCGGTTCGCTCTGTCATGATAAACAATTTTTCTCGCCAGAATCTATGTAAAAATATAAACAAACCTACCATTCGTCCATGTTTGAATATTTTGTGTCATATCTGGTCTGGCGCTTCTATGCATTTAGAGATTCTTGAGAAAATCCAAAGAATCGGTAATTTTATCGGTCCTCACTTGGAATCTCGGCTTCAGTCAGTTTCCCACCGTCGTAACATTTGCTTATCTGTGCCTTTACTATAAATATTTTCATGGCAATTGTTCTGACAAGCTTTCCTCTTTGGTAAGCAGACTTTATGAATTCAAATGCAGTACTAGATTAGTAGCTAGGTCTCGTCATTTTATAGTTGAAATAGCTAGATGCAACCATAAGTACTGTGCTAACAGTTTCTTCTCTCGCACTTCTTACTTGGGGAATTATCTCCCGGCTTCTTGATTCCCAGTAAATTTTGATCTTCAAAAATTTAAATGCAATGTCATTTGTTATGTTTTGTCTTCTAAACTCCTGTTCTTTGATTGTTCTCTCTCCTTAGTAATATTTACTTATTCGCATATTTTTCACACTCACTTAGTCCTTGTATCGTAGACTTTATTATCTTGCTTGTAGTGAAATGATTAAAAAATATACTGTGAACATTATGCAGAAAACATTTTAAATCACAACTCAATAGATACTTCTCAAAATATCTATCTATCTATCTATCTATCTATCTATCTATCTATCTATCTATCTATCTATCTATCTATTACACATGCAGTTGAAATAATGGATATTGAATAAAACTTGATAGATAAAAGTTTCATTTTCCATTTATAACACTCTTTTTCGGCAAAACTTTACCAACTTTACATGACCAACATTATGTCCACGTGTCATATATTTTTAAACATTTTCACAAATGTTACCATTCTTCAATGAGTCTGCATTTTAGCCCTCATATGAAATATAATTTATGGGAATAATAAATTTCGCTATTTCAAGTACAGTATAAGTTGTTACAGGAATTATCAATATTATACGCAATAACTCATGAGCCACTTCTGTAATCATCATAATTTTTATCTTATATGTGCCGCGTCCCTTCAGGACGTGGGTGACCATGGCTCTCCACAACTTCCTGTCCCTTGTATTTTTAAGCAAAATTTAAGTCTTTATCACCTCCTCTTATCCTTATTATGACATCCATACGTTTACTCGCTGTCTTCCTATACCCCTTCTTATATATCCTGTGACTTTTAAATTTTCCAAGCCGTTCTTCCATTTTTTTCTTTCCAAGCCGTTCTTTTCCAGGTGACCCGGAAAATTCATTTATTTATTTCTGATTTAGAATATGAATGTTTTTCTAATACCTACTTTCTTTAGAACTTCCAAATTGCTCAAGTGTTCTGTCCATAGTATTCTCAGTATTTATCGATAGAACATCATCCATGTCGTTTCAAATCTCTTTTTCATATGCATGGAAATTGCCCAGCATTCAGTGCCATATAGTAAGATAGATGTAATAAATAAGTTTGCTTTTTTACAGGATCCTTTATAAGGAGTAATAACCGACAAGTTAACCCAATAAGTGTAGTGAGTTTGATTCTCACTGGGAGCCCAACATTTATGACCTTGTGCTAGATTAAGCCAAGCTTAGATGCCTTTCGGAGGTTCCTTTAATGACTTTCAAACAAGTGGCCATACTGCGACGGATTCATATATATTCCAACAAATACTGAACGATTAAAAACAACATATCTGAAACTCGTCTGACTGATCAATCGTATCACGAGTTCGATTCTCACCAAGTACACCACTATTGCTCCTGTGTTCAAGTAAAGCTTACTATTATTGTTGAACAAGGGTGAATCCGTATTTCGCATACAATAGCAAGTGTGTTGGGTCGGTTCTATAATAACCACCTCATTATTGTGGCCTTGAGCCAGAAAAAGTCTTGATGTATCATGTCCATAATTACACATGGATATGCCTTTTTATATTTGAAAAGGACATAAAGCCAGATTCATTCAAAGATATGCATCAATTCGAGCAAAACTTTTGACATCGGGATACCGATTGTCAGATCCGTCCGCACAGAATTACCGAGTTAGTAAAAAGGAATCTGAAAGCGAAAGTCGCATTTGAGTAACAAGCAATTCATTAAAACAGATGATAAGTAAGACTCGCTTCATAGTTTTTCATTCATTTAAAATAGTAGAAAATGATTGTTAATGTCATGGAAAAGCTTTTATTGTAGTCCTTTCGTTTTACGCGCTTCGTTGCGTTCAGGTATTGGGATTTTTTTCTTCTGGTTCCTGATGCATATATTCAAATTTCAATCCCACCCCAGACACATCATTCGTCCATACATTTTTCCAAATTAAATAATAAAAAATATTTTAATGAAAAGAAAACCACTTTTTTTTCCATTTATTTCTACATTTTCCGTCCATTTTATAGCTTAACCAATTTTTTCATCACTTTGCTATTATGTCTCGCTGATTTTAAATGCGGCACGATCCAATTTCGACGATTCATTACGTCCATGCTTCGTTCGGTTCCTCATTCATACACTAAACGATTTTTACTCCTGGTCGTAGTGACGTGGGAGGGAGAGAATGGCTCACATCAGGAAATAGAAAAAATAGAGTATTGTGCATGTAGTGGATGGATTGGGTGAAAACAGTCTGAGGCGGATATTGGTAGGGGAAAGGGAAACACGGATATGCCTCATAGCCAAAGATCAAAGGCCGTTAGCGATTGGTGTCTCTAACCAATACAAATTCGAAGCATATGAAATCAACAACAATAACAAAAGAAGCAATTAATCTATCAACATTAAGTCAATAACTGGATAAATTAGATTTATTGGTCAGATTACTACTGACTATATTCTAATTACCACTATGAATTTATTTCTATATGACCATCACCAGTTTGTTTCGTGGCTAAGGCATTTTTAACAGATATCTCACCAGCAACGATGGTTGGTGTTCAAGCCAAGGTAAAAAGACGGGAATTTGCATGTTGATTTTCAAGGAAGATAAGTCTCCATTATTAGGAAATCTGGTGTAACAATTTGTCTATCCAAAATTCTAATACTTTTTCTTCTACCTAAAATCATGCTTGTTTAATAGTTAATCCAAACCCGAGATATTATTTCTATAAAGAGTTCGATCATCATTATGCACCTAAACATGTAGCCATGTGCTTGATTAAACAAACCTTAGTAACTATCAGGTAGCCTTGCTGTTGTGCGTGGTTAGTATGCTTATATACTGTAACGAGACCGATCCACACTGCGTGCCCTACATTTATATCCTTGTACGAGACAAAGCTATGCTTATTCTTGTCTGAAATTTGAAAGGTTTCTTTCGATGTGTTTCGTTATCACAAACTTTATATCTATCTATCTATCTATCTATCTATCTATCTATCTATCTATCTATCTATCTATCTAAACGTTTTCCATTCGTCGAATTTCTCCAATATATATATATATATATATATATATATATATATATATATATATATATATATATATATGGAAAAATGGTGTGATCTTTTTAGTTCCGAGAAAGAACTTCTAATAACGGATTTACTGATGAAATCAATTTCATTGAATGAATATTCTTCGGTAATCTTGCGTCCAGTATCATATAACATATTACCATTTTCCCTCAAAGCTACTGATATTACATTGTGATCTGTGGTTACCTCGGCAAGATATAACAGCGTATCGTGTTATATTTTGCTGACGCAACCAGAGTATCAACTGTCTAAAAGATTCTTCAGCTATGTTCCTACATCTTGGACTTGTGACCAGGATAATATCGATCTCCAGATCTTAATCTCATCCCATGAGCTCGCACGTCGGGTCGTAAGGTTACAGTCGGTTGCCATGATAGGAACTGAGCTCCTCTGAAGTGTCATATATGTACCATCTGGCCATTCAGCTCTGTTAGAAGATTCATGCGATCCCTGTTGAGCACTAACGATGCGTCCAACAAGCGCATCATTTTTCTGAAATGACAATAGAACCTCTCGAAAGCATACAATTTGCCTCTTCTCAAGCGATTCTAACAGAACAAAAATATTTGTCTCTATAGCATGAGCACTTCTAGCACTGAACACTTCCACCACACTGAATCGTATCGCAGCTAATGATTAAACTGGTAAATTTAAAGAGCTTTTGACAAAATATTGAAAACTATTTTACAATCCACTCAGAACAATATTCTAGAGAATTCTAGAACAGCTTAAATTAAATCTAGAGTATTCCAGAATATTCCAGAAAGCAGTATAAAACAGCTTGAAATAGCCACTCAGAACCACTTAAGGCGTCTATTATTTCCCTCTCAAAAGCAGGCAAATCTACAAGAGAAATTGCAGAAATTACTATAACCTCGCAATCAACTGTCTCTCGAGTGCTTAGGGAACATAATGATGCCACTCCTGCTCCAAGGAAGGAAACAAGGGGACGAAAGAAAAATATTGATGATAGAACTGGCAGGGTAATCAAGGGAGAAGTTGCGAAGAATAAGACTATAACTAGCCAAGAAATTGCAGCCAGTCTAAGCGAAGAGCAAGGTGTTAGTCTTGCCTATTCAACAGTCCGTCGGTAGCTGTTAGAACAAGGCTACAAATCTTGTACACAAAGGTTTAAGCTGCTAATATGCAAAGCCAACAAAGCCAAGAGACTTGAATGGGCTCACTATTACAAAAATTTCACCGTAGAAGACTGGAATAATGTTCTCTTTTCCGATGAAACGAAAGTTGAGCTAAATTCAAAGGATAAAGGATCTAAAATCCGAAGAAGAAACTTTGAAAGCTCTTTGAATTTAGCATTAAGTACTGTCAAGCATCCGTCAGTATAATGATCTGGGGATGTTTTTCTTTTCATGGAACTTTTCTTAAAACCTATTGAAAAGACCCTCAGGAGCGAGCAGTACAAGAGAATTTTAATCTTGTCTGCTCCCTTCTGCTGAAAGGGTGTAAATCGACCACACCAAGCTCATTTTTATGCAGGATAATGCTCCCTGTCACAAATCAAAATTGATGAAGGAATACTTTGATGAGAAGCAGGTAATCTCATGACCCCATAGAAAACTTATGGAGCATTATAAAGTACAGACTCTCGAGAAAGCAGTTGAGCAACAAAGAGGATTTGATTGTAAATTTCATATCCGAATGGAATTCAATGTTTGGAGATGAGATTTGCCAGAACCTAATCAAGTCAATGCCAAAAAGGGTTGAAAAGGTTATTCAAAATAAAGGAGGACCCATAGATTATTAGATATTTCGAACTATATTACCTATTATAAATAAATTATACCTCTATTATTCTTTATTTAAAGCAGTTCGGTTATGTTTCTATTGATTACTAGTTGCAGGAAATAAGTGAGTCACATTTTTGCACAGAGTTTTTCCCTAAATCTCATTTATATCCAAAATTATAATTATCAATAGAATACCTTAGGGTGAGTAAACTTTTTTACTAGGTGGTAGGGAAGGGGTCTTTATATTAGTAAGTTTAAAAATTAGTTTGACCCTAAAAACAATAGGCGAAAAAAATCTTAAGTAAAAAAATCAGGTGAATCACTTTTATCGAACAGCCCTGTATATGTATATATAGTTACCCCTTTCGAGCAATACCATCGCTTGATCGATCCTTTAAAAGATCCTTGGTTATGACGTAAATGTAATATTCTAGGTGGTGAACGGGTTCGTGTTTCGGTTACTAGTTCAGTGGTCTCTTCTGGTTCGAGAATCTGAAGAAATTTCAAGATCAGGATTGAAACGTCATAAGTCTGAGCAAGTCACAAGTGTCACAAACATAAAATTATCGGATTCTACTTTGCATAAGTATGAAGAAGGCAGAATAACTTTAACAAAATATTAATAAAATTAATAGTTGTTAGGTCCATAGGTGGTTAAAACTAGCACCTTTTTTCTTTTCCTTGGTAGCGGTATGCAGTTTTCGAAAGATGATAGAACAACAGTAGTCTGTGCCAACATGAGAGAAACTTAGAAGTTTATTTCGATGATCAAGTTTTGTCTAAACTTTCAGGTGTCTAACATCTGCCCATTTATGTTTCTCCGTTATCCCACTATTCTCCACTAGTAAACCAGTAAACAACCTTACGACCTTTTTACTTGACAATTAAATCCTTCATCTGAAACATCTTTTCTCTGATATTCTAGCAAAGAAAGCACATCAATCCGATATAGAGGTCTTTAGTCAATCAACTTAATCTCAAGGTTTTAACAATTTGTTTAATTTCGGCTAAGAAGTTATATATTACTTGTAGACATTTTCACCAGACTTGGCGAATGTAGCAGGTAGATAAACGACCGTATGCACTCAACTCCAATATTCTATTTGGATTCCTTAAAACCATTAAATTTCACTAAACTTATTAACTTTCTTAATTAGTTCTTTTCCCACTTTTAATTCTAATAATAATTAAACTCAGTTTAACTTTCTCTCGTGTTTTAACCTTCCCTATACCATAAAACCGAGCTTTTCAACATTTAGCTCTGACTTGAGGCTGGATACAAAATAGTAAATAGTCACTCACTTTATCATACCAACACCTGCTAATATCGACAAATTTTAAATGTAACAACGACAGACTGTACGGTATCTCCAACAAAGAAAAAGTATAAATATATGTTATTCATATATATAAATATATTTTAAAGGTAGATGCAAGAAAAATTAGAATTATTAAATTTAGCAATCCAAAGGAATGACATATTTTCTAAATGCCGTCACCGCAGTATATTTAAACTTATCTAGATCCTTAACGAATTTGCATAAATTTTCATCCTTTGGAAATTACCTATGAATTCTTGCTCCTCTTCAGTCCCGAGTGAACTTAAGTGAACTGTTACCCTTTAACAAGAACATGAACTGCTGTCTTTGACAATTACATATTCCGCTTCTCCTCTTTTCTGTTTATATCCTTCCCAAATTTCTCTTCTATTACAATTTACAAAAATATGTTTTTTCGATATCACTAATTTACTATTAATTCTTGGTGACTATCAATAATATCTGTAATACTACTTTTATTGGCATTATTTTTCCTTTTTTCTTACCTTAAGGTATCTTTATTGAATTATCCTGAATTATCCTTTACATATAAGTATTATACTTTCACTACAATATTATATATTACTAATAATATACTTTAATATAATTTTTGAGTTAATTTGTTATTATGTAACAATTCATAATTATATGTTTTTACAAGCTCTATTTCATATATTGGTATATATTTTTTATTATAATATTTTTTATATTTATACGCAATCAATTGGATGTCTAACTTTAAGTATTTAGTTATTTTTTAACATTATGGGGCTTTTTATATTTTATATGCGGTGCATATGTTAATATATAATACGGATATGTAGTATTGAAGTATTTTGTATTAATATAAATTTTATTATGAGGTTTGATGAAGTGGCATTTGAATATTTATCTTAGTATAAATTTTGAAGGGTTTTATATATTTTTTGGTTTTATTTTTCTTTGAAGTATTAAATATTTTAATTTAAGTTATGTTTTTTTTTGTAATAATTTTATTTATTTAATTTTTTTGTTACTATTATTTAATTAATTAATATATTTATATATTATTTCGTTATATATTATTATCTATTGATTCTAAAGGCATCTTTTATTTCCCTTATTCTTGAGCCAATTTTCATTCATTTTTCCAGTTTTAAATTTTATTTTTATATTATATTATATATTAAATTTCAAATATAAAGTTTTCCTTGTGGATGGGTATTAATTATTATAAATTTAATTTGATATATGTTAATTTGGATATATTCATTCTATGGTATTTATCCCCACCCCCTTTATATTAATTTTTTAAATATTTCCTTTAATATTTTTTCCTGATTTATTTAATACGCTTTAATTCTGAATTATCTCTTTCATATTTTTGGGTTTATCTCTTATTTTATATACTATTTGTTTTTTTCGTTAATTTCTGAAGGTTTATTTGGTCTATTTTTACTGGTTATATTAAATAGGTCATCTTTTTTTCCCCTTTCCTTCTCTTTCCCTTTTCCTTTCCCCTCTGACCACCACTCATATCAAGACCTACGCTACTTCCTGTTTCTTTTTCCACCCTCACTTCCTTTCTATTCTTCATATTCTTTTTCCCTCTGTTTTTCTTCCTTTCTTTCCTCCCCTTGTCTGATTTTTAATTCAAAAAATTTATAATCCATTGACTGTTTGAAAAATTCTGTAAATTTAATTTTACAAGGTGAAAACGGACCAAATCCACTAACTCTAGTCGGCCATAGCTAAGCTTACCGAGCGAGTGGAAGTATGTCAATGAGATCCTGACGGTGGGATTTGCAGGGTATGAAAATTTTCACCAGACTTAATCAAGGCATACTACCAAACCCCCGTCGAAGAAAACAATATACCAAAGATTGCTATCACCATCCCTTTTGGTTTATTCGAATTCACTAGAATGACGTTTAGTTTAAGAAACGTGATCCAGTCTTTTCCAAAATTGATAAACGAAGTATTAAGTGGTTTATCGTTCACTTTCGCATACGTCGACGAAATATGAACGAACACATGGAACATATCCATCTTGTTTTTGAACGCCTGCAGCATTTCGGATTTAAAATTAACGTCGATAAATGCACATTTGGTGTAAAAAAAAACTTTCATTTTTAGGACGCACAATAGACGAATCAGGAATATCATATCAACCTAAGAAATAGATGTTATAAAAAATTTCTCACAACCAGTCAACTTAACTTCGAAGGCTTATTGGCATGATAAATTACTATCGAAGATTTTTGCCACACTGTTCATCAATGTTAACTCCAAGATAGACATATTTAAAAATCACTCAGAAAAAGAATGCAAAAGTTTTCCTTCAAGGTCCTGCTTTTGATGCTTTCCACGAAGCAAATGAAACCTTGGCGAACTTCGTAAAACTAAATTGCTTAAGTGACGTTGAAAACGCAGTGATAACTTTAACAACAAATGCGTCATCGAACGCACGCATGACAAGACATACTACATTTCACAATTTACTTCAGACCTACAATATATAAAAGTTTAAGAAAATATTGCCGCAGATGCACTTTCCCGTACTTCCATATCCTCAATAAATACGGAGAGTTTATGCAACAAGACTATCGCCAAGGAACAATAAAAAAAAAAGATTCGAATTCCTTATTAACATGAAAAAAGGATACCCTCGACCTTATATACCTCCATCGTTATGTAAAAATATTTTTACCAACTTCATGGTTTATCACATTCTGGCAGACGAGCAACCACCAGAGTGATAACAAGACCGATTTGTGTTCAGTGTCAAAAACGCAAAATTGGGAAACGTACAAAATCGCCCATTGGTAAATTCCAGAGACGCGACAGTAGGTTCACTCATTTGCACATAGACATTGTAGGCCGTTTCCAAAAGCACATAGTTTCATTTATATGCTTAACATAGTGGATCGATTTAGTCGATGGCCTGCTGTCTTTCTTATTCCAGATACCTCCGCAGAGACTATTGCAAAATTTGTACTGGACAACTGGATCACTACATTTGGAGTGCCATCTGTGATTACTACTGACAGAGGATCACGGTTTCAATCCTTACTTTTCAAGGAATTTATCAGCCTACTCGGAGTGAAACATATCTGAACTACTGCATACCATCATTGTGTCGATGGAATTATGGAAATGTTCCACAGACAGCTAAAAACTGCACTAGCCACAAAGATTGACTCTTAGAAGTGGGTAGATAAGTTAGTAGTACTCTTCTGTCAATACGAAATACCTTAAAAATGACCTATACTGCACCCCAGCAGATATCGTTTTTGAAGCCTCTCTCCGATCAGTACTTTGAGGTAGACAAAATATCGACCCCATCTACGGACTTTGTCAACAAACTAAAAGACAAAATGTATAGGCTATCTTTTACACCCACTAGATGTGTGACCAAACAATCTATTATATCTGCAGATCTACATAACTGCGAGTATATTTTTCTCAGGAATGACATGGTTAAAAACCATTATCCCCAAATTATTCAGGTCACACATAAAGTGTTGGAACGACATGAAAATATTTTACCATTCAAAAAAAGAAAAAGAAAACAAGAAGACAAACACCGTATTAATTAATCTTTTAAAAATTGCTTACACTGAAAAAATCACGCATAAGCCTGACACAGATGAAAGCAAACCAACAGACAACATGCTCTCACCTAAATTTTCAATACCTCCAACAACAACAAAAAGTGGTCGCACTGAACCTTAGCCACTGCATTTAGAGACATACAGAAACAAATCAGATTTCATAAGAGAATTTTCTTCAATCTGGTTGGGGAGTATTGTTTGTTTACCCGCCCCTTGATTAATAAAATCGAGATTTTGGAATTGTCGCTGCCTACAGGCAACGCGAGATTTAAAAGGCTCACCCTCTTTCTCGGTGACTTTTCATAGCGAAAAGACGTATTCTTTTCGCTCTTGCAAAATGTGAGTAAACAACTACAGACACTTAAATTTGCTTTGAACTTTTCACATTTCATTTCATTTCTCATCTTTGTCATTTGTAAAATATCCTGACAAAATATTTGTTAATATTTCTTTTTTTCAAATTCTATGTCTTATTATTCCTTTGGATGTATACGAGTCAAAACAGCAAAATTGTTAGCGGGTGAAATGTACCAGGAGCTTATGACTTCTCATCAAAAGAATATATACCCACTACATACCTTAATCCTTATTCATCATCAACATTTCAACTGTAAGTGACTCTCGGGTCTTGTATAGGACGAAGTTTAGGAAAAAATAGTAATAAACAAGTTAAGCTGATGGACAATGGTTAGTCTACTTCGATCCTCATTAGAGATATCTGACATACCTTATTAGTGTTTATCTCGTTAGCATAGTTAGGCTGAATATCAATACTGACCTTGTACCAGACTAAGCTTAGTTTAGTTGGTGTTAATCGGACCCTTACCGTGGCACAAAGATTAGCAACCTATTTGTAAGAGTAGTGGGTTCGATTTTTACTGCCTTACTAATATAGCCATGAGCCAGACAAAGTTAGTAAACATATTTTTACGATCATTGAGAGTTAGACTTTAATTTTTCAACCTTCACACTTTATTTTCTTTCTCACTCACAAAGCAACAGTTTTCATGCACATACTTTTATATACAGTCAATGAATTTGCGTCAGAATCACTTCTCTTTCTCATTCTAACGAACACATGAAAACGCATAGTTCCTTACACAGAAAGCATCTTATAACGGTTGTAATTTGCGTAAACGGAGGGCGTACTTCATGTGCTGTTAGCCATTTTATGAACCTTCTCTACCAAATCGGCATTTCGCATTCTCCCATGTTCCCTCATCGATTGCAACAGTAAATCGACTTTTACGCGAATTAGACACAAAGCTGTCAGGAAATACCCGACCTGAACGTTTTAACCTGTGATTGCTTCTCGCTCTTTCTCGTTGTGGCCTGTTTTTTTTTTTCTCATTTTGTTACGCCTTTGCTCGTTCTGTCCTGTTTTTTTCCTTGTACTTTCTCCCTTTTTTTTCTTGTTTTCTTTCCTTTCTCACGTGATGTTTCGCTTTCCCTTATCCTGTCATATTTTTTTCTCTCGTTTTATTCAACCGTCTCTCGTTTTGTCTCGAATTTTTCTCTCTTCTTTTTTTTTGACTTTCTTTTATTCATTTTCTCTGCTTCCTTTTCTCTCCTTCTGTTTTCCTGTCTTTTTTCTTTACCAGTTCGTATTGCTGTCTTTATTGCAGAACCTCTACCATTACCGCCTACCTCCTCTTTTGATTAACTTGTTAATTTTGTTATCAGTATCGGCTTACTCCCGTTGCTACTTTCCTATAAAATTCTTTATAGTCTTTACCAAACTCGCTTTTCGCTTCGCCAGGGGATTGTGACGTGGAAAGAGCGCCGAAGTAGAATTTAATGTTTCAGGCACTAGAAAAGATAATTTCTTGAATAATAATAAAAACAAACAAAAGGGTACGCGATGTGGAGGGTGAGATGAGAAAACACAAACTCTCGTATTTATCGGCGTATAAACGCATAAGACATGTTTATTTCCCCACAAAATTCATTGAAAATTATCTCGTGTCTAAATTATGTATAATGGATTTAAAAGCCGGGGGGCACTTGAGGCAGGATAATTTAAGTTGCTATTTTGGCTGACTTTTGGATGTGGTTAAGAATCAGCGCGTCCAATACGATTCTAAATCTGAGGTAATTACTTAAAATACAATGAAAATGAAATTCTTAAAAGCTTAGAAACACATTCATTCGTCTTATCTAAACTTTATGAATAAAATTAGTATTATGAGGTCTCTATGAATCCCCGTTAACATATCCCCGAAGTCAGAACTGACAATTGTTGCATTTCTCTTCTTATTACTCGCCTTTCCTGTGGTACCTATCGTAGATAAATTGTTAGAAAGCTAGTCCTGTTCATGTAAAGAGTTGCCCTCGTTGCATCTCCTCTTGCAATGTGGAACTGTGCCAGACTTAGCTAAGTTTGCCATTGCCTATTCTTGATAATTGCTACGTTCGTATCAGTTTAGTTGACTTCCTCGCATCTAATCAGTGTGGGTCGAGAATCAAGAATAAGCTCTCAGTGAGATTCGAACTTGCATCTCTTTTACATTGCTAATTCTGTCTATGTACAACAGTTGTTCTACCATTTGATCTTTATGGTTAGCAGAAACTCAAACTTAACAGTATAGACTATTTTTCTTCACCTAGACGAAGAGTGTACTGAACACTGGTTGACAATGCTTCAAAGTTAAATCGATACGGTTAGATCTGAGCTTTCATTAACCATAAAGCTCTTAGAGCTCATAGAATATAAAAACTGTAGTATATAGACAAGATTATCGATATAAAAGAAATGCGGGTTCGAGTTTCGCTTGGGACAAAAAAAAAAGAACTGCAAAGAAGCTGATATTTAAAATCAGTAATAGACGGTTGAAATTTCAGGAATTCATCATGCTTCGAGAATGGAATAATCACAGGACATATTGAATGCAGGAGGAACCTATTTAAGGATGGCAAAACAACGACAAAGAGTGATGTTAAAATGTTAAACGTTACTGATAACAACAAAAGACAAGAAGTTGTAGAGAGCCATGACAACCCACTCCCTAAAATGACGTCACAGAGTTACTTATTGCACTGAATTTACACCACCACTTTTAACAATAAAATAAATATATTTTTTAGGAGGAAAGGGAATAATGAAGGATTTAACAGGGCAAATTGCAACGTTTGTCCTAAAATGATATGCATTAAAAATTAAGAGGAAGGTTTTTCATTGGTTTTTCATTCAATGAAGCTTTATACGCGATTATATGTATAAAATACACCCATTACTTTTGAAATGCAAGTATTATTTACAAAATAAACTTATTGCAAATTATATTAAGAGAGAACTGCTTTGAAAATCAGGAAGAAGCGGATTATCAGTGGTCAGGAATAAAGTTAATAAGTGTAGTAATATTATTTATGGTACAATATGAAATTATCGATTTTGTTTTAAGCTTGACAAGTTGTCTGTTTTCCGATAAAAGATAACATTTCAACAGTATTCTATGTTAAGTAATATTTGTAATGTCATTTGGATTTCTTGAAAATTTGTTAATCATGACTGTTTATTTTTTTAAATTCTAATTTCCCTTACATCTTATCGCAACTCACATACCGTCTCCTTATCGTGTATGTGTGTGAATATAAACTAAATAATGAGTTATTAGTAACTGTATATGCGTGCAATAGCGTGCATACACAGATAAGCAAATAAATATTTATTTAATTTAACTTATGTAGCAAACAAAACAGTTCACACTGTAGTTAAGCAGACCTATAAAGTATATATCAATAAATACACATATACCTACGTTGGTAGTGCAACTTAAAGTTTCATGGTTTCCCAAGTCGTCAAGCACATATGGCGAATGAGCCACTTATTACAGTTGTTTTTTAAATACTGGATCTCATGGGAGGAAAGCTAAATTATACGCAGATTCAAAGCTCAAAGTTAATATAAACCCAGTATATTACTGAGGTGTAAATTCAAAATATAGAGTGTATGGAGAGAGATATTGGGAAAAACAAGTAAAAAACAACAACAACAACAACAAAAAAAACGAAACAAAAAACAAATGATGCAAGCTTAAAATTTACATGGTACATGTTTTACCATTGGGAAAAAAGCAGGATTTAAGTTAAAAGGGTAGATAGACAGAGAAGGTAAAAGGTGTGAATTTTTTTTTTTAACATTTAAAGGAAAGAAGAACGTTGTATAACCCGTTACATATTAATAGACGCTTAAATGGTTAAAATGGGTTAATAAGTATTTACCCTAAAAATTTTAATGGGCAGTTGAAATCGGGTAAAAAGATTTATCCAGAATCAAAATACTTCAGGAGAGAAGCATTTTTATGGGTGTAAGCTATGATGAGCTCATTACATTTGTTCAGCAGGTTGAGGTCATTAATATTTTTGAGAATAATTTTTTTTTCCAGCAAACACAGGTTACATCGGTTACATCGTTAGGGTGTAGTTTTGGCGACGAAATTCCAATTTACTACCCGTGTGTAGTTATTTGTTTTAATTTCCTAGTAAAATTTTGAGAGAGCCGTCGCATTTGAATATTGTTTATTGGTAAGAGTCATTTTATGATGGTAGTACTACCGGATCTTCCAGTGGTTTGCAGTGGAACCCAAATAAAATTTAGTCTCGCCATTATTTTTAATGCTAGCCTTATGAATAACGCCTTTATTCCAACATTTATGATTTAGTGGACAAGTATTGTTTTATCGACAATTACACTTGTTGTCTGTATTAATATTGCTATTGAGGTTGTTTAATTATTTGTTTAATGTTATATTATTATGTTGTGCTCTATGCTGTTCGAGGTTTTTCGTGTAGCTGTGGCTAATATTAATGTTGTTCTTGTTGAAGATTTTGTTGAGCAATGGTATATGGCTGAAATGTTTGCGGATTAAACTAAAGAAAATTTTACTTATATTGGTTTTGACATTTTTGTTAAATAGTGGGTTAAATCAAATTATGTTGCGTTTTCTATTCTTATGTTAATTGTTGGCATTCTTACTATTATTTATGTATTCTAGCCTAACTTTGGGTTTACATTTTTCTAGTGAATCTACGTATTTAGTTTTATATTTGTCAAAAATAATTTTGTTGCTAAAGTTAGTTGAGAGTCTGTATTGCACCAATTTGTGCAAGTTGTTTAAAATTCCTGGAGGGTGGTTAGATTCTTTGCTAATGTATGTTATAATGCAGGTTATAAAGAGCTTTAGTATACCATATGTATATTCCTTTGCATAGGTTGAAAGTAGTGTCCAAAAGGTTGATTAACTTGGTATTGGTGTAAATGGTGATATTTAATCCATCATCATTGAATAATTTGATAAAATATTTTCTAAGTCGATATTTTTGTTGTAGGCTGGTGTTACGTAGGATGATAACTCGGTCGTCTCTGTATAGGCCATTATTCATGTTATCGAAAGTATACCTAAGTCTCCACAGTAGCAGAATGCCAACCAATTCACAAGCTTCTGCAGAATCGAACGCTACCATCGCTATAGAAAAGTTTTTTTTTTCGTCCACATAAACCATCGTGGTATAGGATGGACTTTTGTGCTTGCTTAATGATGTTGATTTGCTGGTCGGTGATGATGCAATAATTATTTGCCAAATTATAGCTGCCATAAAATTTCAGATGTCGAAATGCATAGAGGTGCATTCGTTGTTCCTTTTACTTTAGAGAAACAATTGATAGCATCCTTTGTATTCTTCTACTGGTTGATCCCTGTGACATTCTTAGCGTATTTTCTGGCTCATTCTATATTCTATATATATATATATATATATATATATATATATATATATATATATACACACACATACATACATACATATATATATATATATATATATATATATATATATATATATATATATATATATATATATATATGAACTACTGTTCAAAAGTTTGATCCCACCCTGAGAATTAGCATGGGAAAAATTCGAGAAAAGAGTGAAAAAAAAAAAAAAAAATGAAAAACTGCTAGAGTCACTAAAAAAAAAAAGAATGGAATCAATTATGAAACTTAATAATTTTGGAAACTTTTGCAACGAATGCCAACACTTGGTGCCTGCAGTAATCAAGGCTAAAGGAGGATATTTTGAAGAGAGGAAAATTTAATCATAAAATAATTTTTTTTTCTTTTGGTCTTGAAATTTCTAATAAAAATCATGTATCACCTTTTTTAACCATGTATAATAATTTTCTCTTATTTTGAAGTACAAAACAACTACTTTTGGGGACAATTAAAAAATTACCAGAGGTTACATCAGATATATATATATATATATATATATATATATATATATATATATATATATATATATATATATGTGTGTGTGTGTGTGTGTGTGTGTGTAAAGCGTCTAGCCATTATTAAAAGCCGGCTGCATAAATCAATTGTTTTAGGTGGCCACACAGATAAAAATACAATTGATTGAGGTCAGGGGTACTTGCAGGCCATGGAACCGCTTCTACCCTACCTATCCATCTTTCGTTTTTCATGGTTGATGTCAGCCAGATCATCACGAACAATGTAACTAAAATGTGCTGGAGCCCCATCATGCATGAACCACGTTTGTCTTCTTATTAGCAGGGTTACATCTAGTAGGTCTGGAAGTGTGTTCAAAATAAAATCCCAGTAGACAGCTCCTGTATGACTTGATGCTTGTGTAAATTTGTTATTCCAT